ATGTATGCAGATGTTAGATTAATAACTTTATTAGTTATCACTTAACTAAAAAAAAAATTTCCCCTCAAAAAAAAAAACTAATATTTTTTTTTAAAAAACAAATTTTAAACACTCATAAAATAAACTACCACTACTACTAAAGAAAAAAAAAATAAAGATTACACATGCATAATAATGCTCCTAATTCTATTTACCTTATGATATTATGATAGTCGTTTTTAGGATGACCACGGCAAAATCATTCTATTTTTTAAAAAAAAAAAAAGATATATTTTGTATATATTGTATATCCTCAACACAATGATTAAAAAAAACCTAAAAGACATATTTTGTATATATCGTATTTTTTTGAAACCTATTTTATATATATATATAGTATATCCTCAACACAATTTAATTCCATTATCTATATTATGGCTTTCTTAACCTATTTATATCTTGTATCTATTGTTTATTAAAGATTGGTTCATTGGCAGCACATGGTTAAAGGTGAACAAAATCCCTACTGATAAATGTGACTTCCGTCGTCTAGAGTTAAATCGTCCTACCAATGACCGCCTTCAACAGCAGCGCGCAGGGTGGATCAACATCAGGATCAATATTGTCCCGGAACCCGATCCCGAATGTAAGAGATGCGCGAATTTGAGGATCATAGAGCGAGAGGTGAAAATGATCAAAGAGAGAGCCAAGAAAGTAACTCAAAATTGCACTGAATGCACGATTTGCTTGGAGGGATGGGATATACCCGAACAGCAAAGTATATGGGTTTTGGAGACATGTGGTCATAAATTTCACAAGGATTGTTTGTTTTCTTGGTGTAAACTGGCTAACAAAAACTCTTGTCCTACTTGTCGCACCCAACTGCTTCCATCCGAAGTAGCCAATCTTTAGTCTTAGATTTAGGGTTAATTTTTTTTGCTAATATTCAATTTTATAGTATTATGTAACATTCTTATACTTTATCATCATATTTTTTTATTTAATTTTATTATTCTTGTTAACCGTTATTCCCTAAATACAAGGTCAAAAGTTTTTCTTGAAATATATAATACTTTTTCCTTTCAGTTTGTTATCTATTCATCAATCTATTTATAATTAATACTAAAACAAGCTGACATCATCCTTTTTTTTCAAAATTGTACACGTGTTAGCTTTTCCTTAAATTTTTTCCTGCATAAATTTATTTTTTCTCTTCCAATTTTCATTACTTTCTTAATTTTTATTTATTTATTTTTTAATTTTGAAAAGTTAATATTAACCACAACATACTTTAATAGAATACATTATCTTAAGTTATATTCTCTCTTAAAAAAATTGTTACACATAGAGTCAAAGATAATCTTAAAGAGAGCAAATATTAGCCATGTATTTATGTGATTACTCCTCCTAATTACAAAGTCCACTAAATTTTGTTGTACACATAAATTTTCTTTTGATTATATTATTTTAATTTTTGCAGTTTTGTTTATGTTAATACAAAGTTTTTACATATTTTGAGTGATAATTTGACTTCAAAATGTACACAACTATAAATTATCATATAACTAATATATAAAGCTAAACTTTTAGCCAGGTCACGAGGCAGCGACACTTGGCGTTCTAACTTTTCGCCAAGTGTCGTGCCACATTGGATATATTTAAATAGACATTATGAGATAAAAAAAAAAGTTAGTTTAGAATTCTATTTGGATATAATTTTAAGATAAAATTATTAGTTTAGAGTTTTATTTTCGATAAAATACCAATGTTTCAGATGTACAAATTGAATTATAATTTTAATTACAAAAATTATTAGATTATTATTTTAAAAAATCATATCATAAAACTAATATATAAAGCTAAAATATATAACTAATATATAAAGCTAAACTTTTAGCCAATCACGAGGCATCGACACTTGGCGTTGTAAATAGACTTCATAAGTTAAAATGCCAAGTGTCGCGCCACGTTGGATAGATTTAAATAGACTTCATAAGATTAAAAAGTTAATTTAAAATTCTATAGGATATAATTTTAGGATAAAATTGTTAGTTTAGTGTTTTATTTTCTATAAAATACCAATATTTCAGAGGTACAAATTGAATTAAAATGTTGTTATAAAATTTTCGATAAAATATAGCAAATCGTCATAAAAGCACCTCAATTCCTAACTAATATTGTATCAATGATATATTTAAAAATTTGACATATAGATTAAAAATTTATATTTAATAAACAACCCGGGCATCGCACGGGCACAAAACTAGTTTTTATAATATCTAATCTAGTATATACTAGATGTAAGCCCGTGCGATGCACGGTTTTTAAATATTTCATTTTGTATATTTTTTTTTGTAATTTATTAATATTTTTTGTTTTTATTTTCTATTCTATTATTTTAACATTAATTTAAGGTAAAATATTTTGTTAAGTTTTAAATTATTCTTATTCAAATTTTACGTATATAGAACTTAAATTTATAAATTGAAATAAATATTATCTCATTCATCAGATAGGTAAGATAAAATCATTAAATCAAAATATATTTTTTAATTTCTAATTATTTGTTAAAATAATATAAATCCTAATGTAAATTTTTTTTCATAATTTAAATCTTAAATTACTATTTTTTGTTTTCAATTCTCAAATTTCATTTGTTAATTTTTTTTCTTAAATGGCGACTGAAAATTAAAATTCTAAATTAATATATAAATCTAATTTTTCATTGGTCGAAATATTACTTTTTCTTATGTGGCATGTGATGCACGAATATTCATATACATTTTGTATATAAATATTTTTTTTTGTGATCGCTTAATTTTTTTCTTGCATTATAAGTTTTAAAATTTTTTATGGAAGTATCATATCATCAAATATTTACATAAAACCATTAACATCAAATGATAATTTATAATTTTTTAATATCAAAATATAATTTTTAGTTTTTTAAATAATATAAATCCTAATATCTAAAGATAATTTTTAGTTTTTTTTTCTTTTGAATAGCAGATAATTTTTAGTTTTGTAACAAATAAAAATGATAAAATTTAGTATTCTTAAATAATTAAAATCCTAATAAATTACTATTCGTCGTTTTTACCTATGTGGCAAAAATTTAAAATTTCATTGGTCACTTTTGTTTATGCGGCGAGTGATTTTTTTAATTCTAAAATAAAATAGAAATCTAATTTTTAATTGGTCGAAAATATACCTTTTCTTATGTGGCGCTATCAATGCTCTCCAAAAATGCCTACTTTATTTATATAATATTAGATTAGATTATATACTAAAAGACACACCAGCAATGACATGTGTCATCTCCTGGTTGCTGGTGTGTCCTTAATTATTATTATTTTTTTATATATAAAAAATCTATTAATTAAGGAAACAAATCAATTTCAAAAATAATATTATTTGTTTTACATATTCCATATTAATGTAGTATATTTATAATAAAAAGATTTCACAAATAATTTTTCTAAAATAGAAAAATGGTCAACTATAAACCAAAACTTATATTCTTAAAAATATTTTGTGAGCTGTTTTACAACAAAAAATATATATATATATATATATTGCTCGAATTTTTTTGCCTTTTATTATTCCTTGAATAGCTAATTTATGAAAATAATATTTATCTATTAATAATCTATAACGGTCACGGGATCTAACCTAGTATTGAATATATTCCACTTTTACTTAGTTATTATTTCCTATTTTATACATAATAAATTCTGATTGGTTAGATTAATTAATTGTAAATTGATGACACGACTCAAAGTAAAAAAAATTACTTCCTTGATTTATGCAATTATAGCTAATACTTTCCTAAAAAATCAAAAAAATTAAATAAGGCAAAACTATTTTTATGAATTGTTTTTTACTTTAATGCTAAATTCCAAGTATTTTTTTATTTTTTTTTTATTTATTTTATGTGATTGATTCCATGTAGGAGTGTGGGACTATCATATTGAAACGGAGGGAGTAACAAACTTCTTCTTAAGATATGGTAACAAAAATAAATAAATATATATATATCATATAACTAATATATAAAGCTAAACTTTTAGCCAGATCACGAAATAATGACACTTGGCATTCTAACTTTCCGCCTAGTGTCGCGCCACCTTGGATAGATTTAAATAGATTCATAAGATAAAAAAAGTTAGTTAAAAATTATTTTTTCAATCAAATTAGGATAGAATTTTAGAATAAGATGTTTAGTTTAGAGTTTTATTTTCGATAAAATACCAAATAATAAACTTATAATTAGGCCACAAGACAACATCATATAGCATTTTAACTTTATGCCAAGTGTCGTACCACGTTGGATAAATATAGATAGACTTTGTAGAAAAAAAAGTTAATTTAGAATTCTATTTTTAATCAATTAAATTGAATTATAATATAATTTTATCTTAAAATTCCATAAACAACCCGGGCATCGCACGGGGCACAAAACTAATATATATATATATGAAAAAAAATAAATAAAAATAATAAAAAAAAAAACCCAATAAAAATAAGGGAAATTGCCTTAGATTATTATTATTTGATGTCCACATTTGATTTTGTAAAACTTAACCTTTTTTTTTCTCAGTGGTTGATTCAAAAAGAGCTTATCCCACTCGTTGTTCTTGGTATATTCAATTATCCGTAGTATAAAATAAACTAAAAATACATACTTCGTATATATTTAGTGCAGAGCAAATATATACCATCACCACTACAGCTACTTTGCCTACCTATTGATATGTTTCCCCGCATCTTTTAAAGATGCATTTTCCATCAAAATTGCACTCATCAATTTATGGAAACGAATGTCACAACAGCAACATCATACGCATCACCACCTTGCTTGGTGTCCCAAGAGGTGAGACTGATCCTTGCTTTGAGAAGCTTCAATAACCTTACCTCTTATGATTTCATCAAACGGATTGTCTTCGTTCCCTAAACTCGTTTTTTATGCCAGAGCTGCAACTGGATAATACAAGCACATGGATGTATAACACACTGGCGAATATGCTACAGAAAGAGTAGCAATCTTTGTCGAGACCAGACTACTATTATTGAGGAAACACAGGATGATACTTTCAAGTTTCAACACTGAAGAATTTGTTACAACATAAAGGTTATATGTACAGGAAAGTGGTTTTCTTTACAATCGATGACAATTTAGAGAATCAAATTTTTTCCCAGGATACAAAGTCACATAAGCAGGTGAACAAAGGATATCGTCATCATCTAAAGAGCAGATAAATATGGCATTCAAGGGTTGTCCGCATAACATCTCCAAGTTCCCAAGGTTTCACATAGTTCTACCAAGGGTACCTCCATCAACTACAGATTCTCAATCTCCACGAAAAACATAAGCTTTTATTGTACATACTCGCCCAAGCTGAATCATACAGAGGTCTTGTCACTCTTGTGTCACAACTTTCGTCCATACGGAGCTGTCTTCTAGCTGGTTTGATCTGGTTGATTTTCTGTAATTTGGCTATTGAGGAATTCCAACACTGACAGTCGCTGCAAGGCAAGTTTAAAGGTAAGCTTTGTTTGATATAAGAATATCTATCTATCTACTTCTGCATGAAAGTAAACTACTAAATTAAACAACAAGAATTAAAGAACCAGGAGGCTATTGACTACATGTCCAACTACTTCAAATATTGAGACACAAGAATAGGTTCAGAAAGATCAATGGGCTTAATAAGATAACACTCTGTAACTTTCAAACAGCGCTAGTTGTGAAGGGGATGTAAGTGAGAAAAGCTTAATAGAGGTAATATGTATTTTTCAGGAAGAATAACATCCTACATGACGTCTTTTTACAAAGCATGCTAATCAACTTTAGATATAGTTTTGAGGATTAAAACTTTACACAGTTCAGCCATCTCAACTGGAAATGACTGCAAGTCATCAAGTTGCAAGATTTTTTATTTTTCTGGTTAAATTTCCACATATACAAGCATTTACAAGTATAGCGAGACATGAATCTGGCAATCTAAAAGAAGCCAAGAAGATGAAATTTGACCTTCAAAACATAAGGGCCTTAGTAATTTGGAATCAATTGAAAAGCGAAAAAGGAAAACCACCAAAAAAAATTATTTCAATAGGAGAGCTTGACCAAGAAGACATACCCTTTGTTCAAGTGCTACTTGACTAGCGTCTATCTTCAAAGATTGTAACATGTTTACACCTTCACGAAAGCCAGAAATAGCTCCGTCTTCAAAACCAAGCCCTCTGTCAACATCAGCCACTTTTGCTAAAGAAACTGCTACATCTAAAGTCTGGAATCACAGGAAGCAATAACTTAGGAAGAGAGACATTATAAAATTTGCTTAACTACATAAAAAGCAGAAGACAAGGTAGTAACTAGTAAAAAGCTATGCAGTTGGGTTTTTGTATGTACGGCTGAGCAAAACTGTCTAAAGATTCAAAGATCCGATCCAATAATTTAGGATATCCGGTCAAAATTAATTTCAAATCAGGTATCCGATCCGAATTTCTCGGATACCTCTCCGGATATCAATTTTCGGATTTTCGGACATCCAATATATCCAAATTATTTAGGATTTTGGATCATGGATATCCGATCAAAATATCTATATTTTGGGTTTCGAATAACTCTGATCCAGATATCCAAATTTTGGGCTTATTTTATATTTTCTTTTTAAAAAAAATAAAATTAGATATTATTTTATAATATTTAAGATGTAGGATATCCGGTATATCTGATCTGAAAATTTTCAAATATCCGAAACTTTTCGAATCGGATTCAGATATTATTTTCTTTGTTGAAATGTTATTCTGACAAAACATATAATTCTTTTAAACTAAAAATTTGTTGAATAAAATGCTGTTCTGTCACGGCAACATTTCATTTATAAAATTTTAAATTAGAACCACATTTCATTTGACAAATTTTTAATTTAGAAGAATTAGCATCCTCATATTCATCAAGGGATTATAAAAAAAATAGTTACAAAAATAAACACTTTTTAACTGCTGGTATAAAAGTTGATCTCATTATTGCCATTAAGGTTTCCTTTCCCATATTTATTGTTCCCACTTAACAAAAAAAGATTAACATTGAGATACTACCAAATCCCAATTAGCTACCACTGCTTAACTCCAACACAGATGTGTTCATGGATCCTTATAAGTTATAAGAGCATAGAGACAAATACAATATGGGAAAAAAGAAAGAAAAAAAAAAAGAAAAAGAAACAATCACTCATTGATCACCACTTGACAAGAAACCTGTGTTTTGCAACCATAAAAGGGAGAGAGAAAAAGAAAGGAATAATATATAACCTTTTCTGCTTTCCTATTTCACAACGAAGAACAGTTGCAAAAGAGAAATTTATTAGGAATATTCAATAAACTAAGCAGCTAAGACATCATATGCAACAACAAGAAACAGGAGCTAACCAGAGATGCATTATCATGGTGATTTAACATGGCATTACGACGAACTTCCAAAGAACGGAAATAATAAGTTCTTGAAGCTTGCAGATCTCCATCATAGTACTTCAAGTCTCCAATTTTATTCAGTGAAACAGAAAGAGTGTGTATAACCTGCCAAATAATATATTCATTATTAATTAGTGTCAATACAATAAGATTTGCAGATTAAATTTGCAGCTGTCACATGATGTGTGAATGTATCACCTCCATATCGTCAGGAGGCACTTGTGACAAAAATTCAACACTTTCTTCAAAGTAGGTGACAGCAGATCCAGCATCTCCCATTGCACGACTGCAATAAACTTGGTGAGTTCAGAATATTTTTCTTAGTTTAAGAAGATAACAATATTCTTCTTAAAATGCCAAAGAAAAAAAAAAGAAAAGAAAAACTAACAAGTACAGTCATAAAGAAAATAACCAAATGATGAGAGCAACAGCAATCTTTAAGTTATAGACACGTAAGGGACACTGTGAAAGATCACAACAAGCTGTGCAAATTGAAAAAATTTATATATATATATATATATATATACACACTCCATTTTTCCAGAATATTGAAAATTTTATAAGCTCAAAAATCAAAATAGAACATTTAGTGAGAAAAATATGGACATTTAGTGAAAAACTTTTGCACATTTATTTTTCTCATTCTACCCTATATATGATGATGATGATGATGCCCTCAATTACTTCAGGACTCAAAGATGCACACTGTCAACCAGAAAAGTACTTTAAATCCCTTCCCCTCTCTTTTGCCTGTAGAAGAAAATTGGCGCTATAAAAAGAAGGGAGATCCAGAATCTTCAGACATGTCAAAGAAGGTTCTTCTCAGAGGGTTGCTTTTGGAGGTTGTACACCTAATATGGTACAAAGCATTTAAACATGCTAAAAAGTCTTGAGCTACTTGCTTTTGATAGGTCCCAGTTATGGGTATAGTATCGTTAAGAGAACAGTAAGACCAAAGTGCGTTACTCAATTTCCATTCCTCACAGATTATTCAACCTCCTTAAAGTCTTCAGCTATGTTCTTTTGCAGGGCCCCAGTGATGGGTATAAGATCATTAAAAGTATGGTAAGACCAAAGTTCTGTAAACAATTGCAGTTCTACAGGTAATAGTGCAGACACTGAGAAAGACGACAAGACAAGCTGAGCAAAATGAAAAGTCACATGGAGAATGATCCCCTCCACTCCTCTTCTTCAGTGATCGCGATTAGGTGTCAAATATGTATGCGGCATTATCCTTTTAACTAGAAAAATACTTAAATCTTTTCGCTAACTTCTCCTGCAAAGGAAATAGCGCAAAAGATACAGGCATTTCTGACACGCCAAAGGAAGTCTTCTCACCCCTTGTGCTAAATATGAAACAAATAATTATTGCATGCTTAATGTCTTCAAAGCGATTCTTCTTGGTCCCAAGAATGATGGGAAATGCTCGTAAAAGTAGGACAATGTTAGGAAAACAGTGGGAATTTTCAAGCTTTAAAAGTGAATACGTGTATTAGAGTTTTAACGATTGTGTCATTGCTTCTTCCATCTTTCACACTTTCAAAAAGTAATAAACAAATTTATTACTGCAATTAGGTTTCAGAAATACAGTCATATCTATGCATTGGTTGCATATGAACTTGCCACAATACACGCATTTGACCATGAAAGAACTCAGTGTAAGCCACAAGTTATAGAAAATAATTATTGAGGCCCACAAGATGTACAAAGGTTACTACATTAGTTAAATCAAGGGATGAAAGATTCTAACAATGATTCTAATGTACCAAATACATTGTTCTTGAACAAAGACTAGATCTCTCAATAAGAAAGATTATGGAAATTGTCAATATAATAGGATTTAGAAAAGACTAACACATATAGCATTCCGCCTACCCCTAGTGCTGTGTAAATAAAATATAAATTAAAGTCACCCTTGCTTTTATATACAAGTTAACATTAAGTGAGTCATCTCAAACATTTCAGCCATGCATTGAATACCCTTCCTTGATCTTTGTTAACTAGAAATTTCTGCAGAGCCATAACCTGTCAAACATCTAGATAGCCCTGTAAATAACCCTTTCCTCATCATTCCTCAAACAATCAAACTATATGAAGGTTTCTTCAAAATTATTATCTAGTAAAATTGAATATAAACCGTTAAAGTGCTAAACTAAGGTAGCCTTCTATAAACTTCTGATGATGCTAAAAGAATGAGCAATCCAGGTGAGTATATGAGCAGTTCCTAGCACATAGTGAAGTTCTATGAGGTGTAAGTAAGAGAAAGGGGGGAAGAAAGGGAGAGAGTATACCAGCAATCTCCCAGCATTCCCAGCACAGCCCCAAGTTGGGAGCACAATTCTGGCTTGTTACCAGATTCCTTTAACTGTTCCCTGATATCGGCAGCACAAAGTGACAGCCTGGATTTAGCACTTTCCACGTTCTGAGCACGAAATGCCTATAAATGCAAAAGAAAGTACATGATTGAACATACTTTTAAAGTTAAAACTTAACAGTTGACTAACTTCAAGTTCAATATCCATTGGCATGCTTTTAGACATTAATTATTCACACCACAACTTACCCTCATGGCATGTTGAACCAAAAAAGCACCTCTCTCTAATGAGACATCTTCATAAATCACAGATTTATTTTTGCTAACTTCCTCCTTGGCATCTGTACTGGCAGGAGACCTCTTGATCCTGGCATGACCAGCAATGAACTTATCAACAAGCTTTTGAGTTTCTTCATCATGTTCAATCTTCTCAATATCAGCCCCACATAATGGACAGTCATTAAAGCGAGATATGCATGCCCTGGATTGCCAAGCAAAATAAGAAACCTAGTCAAGGATAGAAAGGAGCAGTAACATAATAATCGTGATATTATCTTTAAAAATAAAGGCGTTGAAAGCAGTAGTGATCACGAATAAATATAACTTACTTGCAGAATATGTGGGAGCAAGGCACACATTTACTGCTCTCAAACAAAAGGGCTTTGCATAGCACACAGCTGAGAGGGCCAATTTTGAATGAACGAGAATCATATCCAAGAGGACACTTAGGTTCAATTACGCCAGAAACAACAGACTCGCTTTTAGCTTTACTCTCATGTTCTGCAGCATGTTTACATATATTTTCACCACTTCTTTTCGAAGAGGCATCATCAGGACGAGTAGCTTTGACAAATGGGCAAACTGGGGTCATCTGTTCCAACACTGAAAAAAGCAAGTATCAGAGATCAAGCATTTAAATGATCTATTAGCCTATAAGCACATGATAAAAATCCAAGCAGTTTCAGTTTAAAGTCAAATCTAATTATCTGAACCAAACAAGCAACCACCGAATGGAGAGAAAAATCTTGGAGAAGTTACCCACAATCAACAAAAACAAGAGTATAGGGAGCATTCTTAAAAATACACAATAAAAGGGTGATAAAGGCTACTCTGCCAGAGCTACATACATCTGAAATCAACCAAGGAAACATATAGAAAACTCTTACTCCAATAAAACCAGAATATAGCCAAGAATTTCCCTTTCTAAAGGAAGAAAAATGATATCAATAGAGCCAGATATGATAGGCTGGTGTTTTGTGGCAAGAGAGCTGCCATGTCTAGCCATCTCTCGCATGAGCAATTGCTTAAAATGATAGGCTGGTGTTTTGTGGCAAGAGAGCTGCCATGTCTAGCCATCTCTCGCATGAGCAATTGCTTAATCGACAACAATCATTCTATGTAGCAATAAATGTAGCATAATCCCTCACACTCTAATTGCAGAAAGCCAGGATAAAAATATTGCCTCATCTCACAATAATAAAAATCTCCCCAGGGGAATCCTCGCCATCTATCTTTTTATAAGAGATGATCTAAGATCTGAATTGCCCTCTTCCCAGCCTAGAATTACAAACTTTGCTAATGTCCCAATCCTTTTTGAGTTTAAGATCTCCTTTCCAAACCCTTCCCAAAATTATGTCCTAGAGTGGTCACTTTATATCATTTTACAACAGTGAATTTTAAAGATAAAAGGTTTAATGCAAATAACATTGCACAACTCTAAACATTTTCTTTTTCAGTAAATATAAAATGTGCTTCAATTAAGTCATCAGCTAATGTGGAACGGAAATTGGGAAATAAGAGGGTTGAATTTAAAGACCTCTAAATTGATATAATTTGCTCGGACCAGGACAAAATAAAAAAACACCTAAAATTCAATTAGAACTAACATGATACTTTGATGTCTTGCATACCAAAGATGACTCTGCATTCATCGGGCATAAAATAGGAAAGGTACATATTGACCGTATCACAACAATAAAATGGTGAAAAATTATAATACTTCATACATGATTATAGCACCAACTTAAATTCTCCTTTCAATAACGAATGAAAAACATAACGCAATCATATTGATATCTTCGGCAGCTTCACCGACTCTTGCATTGCCACTAACACTATGTTGATTTACTATCAGAATATAAATTTGGCTTAGAATACTCCTAACATATGCAAAACAAATTTACCAATATAAATTTGGTCCACGGATATTGTATTACTCCCTCTATCCCTTTTTATTTAGAGTACAAAATTACGGAGCATATACAACTTATCACTGTCAAACCGCTCAAATTATGATAAACAATCAAAATCACAATTTCAAAAATTAGACTCTTCACCTCTCATAAGAAAACCCCATAATAAATTTTGACATTACATCTATAACTCATACAATTCAACACCATAATACTTTCTTGCCCCAAAAAAAATGATTTTCGCATTTTATTTGATAAATACAATTTCAACAATTACCCAAAATATATCATTCTATAGAAAAATTAAAAGTAACCCAGATCATGCAATTATAAAATACAGCAGCAGAAACCAAAGAATACTACTCAAGGAATTATTCGGTAACATAAACCATAGGATCTAGACAGCAAAATCAAGATTAATTATAATTGTTTTCATAAATAAAAGAAATTCAATAATACCTGAAAAAACAGATCTGAAATAGGGAGATGAAAGGAGGATGGTGTTAAAATGGCGGGGGAAGAGTAAGTGTGAAAATGGTGTTTGTTTGGATAGGATTTTTTTAAGGAAGGAAGGAGGTGGTGAAAATGTCAATTGTGCAGGTATTGAACGGGAAGTTCGTTTGCAATTGCCAGCATTAAATATAGAAAATTTTGTCAAGAACTACCAATTAAAGCACGTGTTTTGAAAACAACTACCTATTAAAAGGTTTTTTTAAAAGAACTACCACGTTCCTTGAAATCCTTTCGTGGTAGTTCTTTTAAAAAAAACTTTTAATAGGTAGTTGTTTTCAAAACACGTGCTTTAATTGGTAATTCTTAACAAAATTTACTTAAATATATTCTTGTTTTGCTCCTCTCGATGTAGAACCTTCTAAAGGTGATCAAAGGGCGGGACAGAACGGGTTCAAGCTGAGTCGAGGCTAAAAATTTCAGCCCGTTTGGTCGGGTCAGGACAAGGTTCATCAGGAAAATACTGGTCTAAAAGCCGTTAAATTAAATCGGGTTTAGCGAGCTTTTTTAATTTGGGCTAATAAAATAACTAGAAAGCTTAGCAATGCATGACTAAGGCCCGTGGGAAATTAAAAAAAAAAAAAAAATCCGGGTTGGCCAAGCCCAACCTGACTTCGGGATGAAAATTTCCGCCTAAAACCAATTGTTATATAAAAATAGGTGGATTATACCTAAAATATGAACATTTATTTAAAAAATATATGAATACATCAAAAAAAAATGAAATCTATATCATCATCAATAACATAATACTAAAACAGACACCGAAAATTTCCTGGTGCTGTTTTTTCCATCCAAAATCCCTTTCCTTTTTTTTCTTTTTTTTCTTTTTTTGCCCCCTTTTTCTAGCCAATGCCATTAATTACCTATTATAAGTTATACACAAAAAATTCACCAAAACATATAATATAATTGTGATTATTTTGATTCATATACTTTTCATTTATGTAATTAATAATTTTCATTCTAGGTATGTAATTTTAGACTACTATCTAATGTAATTTTAAATAAATAAGAGTTTTCAAATGTTTAATGTACAAACCTATAGTAAAATTAAATTAACTAAGATTAAAAATATACATCTAAAAATCATAATAATTTCCAAATAAATAAGAGTTCTCACCTCTGCTTGGCTTCGGGTTGTCCCTAATTCTGGGTTGGGTCAGACGATGAACGCAAAGGCATACCGATTTGTGATGTGCTATTGACTGGGTGTTCCATTGTTCACTGTCTCGATGTCGTGCTCTGCTTGTTCTCGAATTTTTATCGGGGATAATTTCGGCAACCACGCGGTGTCGTGTGCTGGTATTGTGGGTATAAAATATCGGCATAAAGTTGTTCGGGATACCCTTGTTGATATTTGCTACAGATCTAGGATTTCAGCAAGAAAGGAGGTAGACATAGGATTGTCTGGAGGGAATGACAGGGCCCTCAGACCTGCCGATGTGTTACTTTATTCAAGGGATCGTGGTCGTGATGTATGTGTCGACTTCAAAGGGTCTTCTCCTTTGACACAAACAGGGTTAGCTGACTTTGTTCCTGGACAGGTTCTAGCTGATGCGGCTCATCGGAAGCGGGTTAAGTATGAAGCTCTTTGTCAGGCGAATGGATATGGTTTCATTCCCTTCTCCTTTTCTTCACTTGGGGAATTAGAGAAGGAGGTTGTACCATTGCTGAAGCGAGTCCAGACATTCGCGACGACGCAAGACATTGGGGCTCGTGCGACAACTCATATCTTCACTAGGGTAGGATTTATTGTAGGTTGTATGACTATTATTTTCTAGATTTAATAATAATAATAATAATAACAACACAAACTTTTAAATAAAACGGATGTTCAGTAAATTACTGAACATCCGTTATAAAGTGACAATAAAATGTGCAAAAGCTATACTAAAACGCACAAAAATTACCGTGACATATATAAGAGTTATTTATGCTTTATTGATAAATTTGACAAAAGTGACACTAAATTTGACAAAAGTGACACTAAATCTGACAAAAGTGCACCCGATGTACAGTAAATTACTGAAAACCGGGTGTATACAAAAGTTTTCCTAATAATAATAATAATAATAATAATAATAATAATAATAATAATAATAACAATAAAAGATCTTGGTGAATAGGATGAAAAGAATGGTGTCCTTCAAACAAGTGTACTATTCCGTTAGCGGGTTCAGAATTATTAGAAAGCTAATATATTCAGTAAGGTCAAGTGATCGAAATGTATAATTAATATTACAGCTTAATCTTGACTAAACCCTTCGGGTCACACCCTAGCAAATATACGAACCGACTCGACGTTAATTCGGAAGAAATTAATTCATCGCCCGAGTATTAAATATTTAGACGTCGGAAATTCGAGCTTAGAGCGTCGAAACCGAGCGTCGGAAGTCGAGTCAAAATAATAAAAGACGAGACACGAAAATAATAAATCAATAAGACCAAAATACCCCTAGAATCGGAATGCCCCGAGCAAACCGAGTGCTAGGGGCATTTGGTATAGCATGGTGGCTAGCATGCGCACCAAGCCGAGCCTAGGCTGGCTGGTGCGTGCTAGCACACCAATGCTAGCACAACATGCTAGCTATGCTGGGCCAATGCGCGCAATGTGCAAGGCACTCAGCTAGCAGCCCACATCATTGATGCGCGGCTTGCTGGCCGAGTGCGCAAGCAGCCCGCACAAGCAAGAGCTGGGCGTGCTAGGCCAGCAGCGCAAGCAGCCCGCACAAGCAAGTGCTGGGCGTGCTAGGCCAGCAGCGCCAAGCAGCCCGCACGCTTGTGCTGGGCCTGCTGGCAACCGCACATGGCAGCCCACCTTGGGTTGCCTTGGTGCCCAAGTGTGGCGCCATGTGGAGCATTGTGAGGGGAAGCTTGAGGCATGAGGTGGCGGTTTTTGGAGAGGGAGTGGGGAGCAAGTTTGGTCTCCCCCCTCCTCCAAATGGTCCTCACCTAACCTCTCTCATGAGCTTGCCACTTGTTGATTTATTACTAGTTTGATTATTTATTTTATTTTAGCTTTAAAATAAAATGGAAAAATCAAGTTCTCCCACATTGATGGGAGAGCTTTTTCACTCTCAAGTTTTCCCTATAAATACCCAAGTTGGGGTATTGGGAAAATCACTTGAGTGAGAGTTGAAAAAGGCGTCACCATTGTGAAAACCTTTGAACTCATTTAATCACTCGGGTTTTGGTCAAACCCTGCTAACTCCAAGGTAGCGGACCTAAAAAGTCGGTGTTCATCCTTTGTGGGTGGATATCTTTGGAGGCTCTCGTGTGAGCGGAGCTAAAGCTTTCAAGTAAGAGCCCATTAGGTCGGGCGAAGCACACGTCAAAGGTAAATTACGATTCTACCCTTTTATGTTTATTTGTTTTGCTCTATGGTTTTATTAATTGCGAGTGGTTCTTTGGGTCGGGGTCGTTTCCGCGGTAAGTTGGACTTACCAAATCCCAACATAGGACGGGTAAAATATATATACTTCGTATTAGATTGTAGCTACTGAAACAGAATGTATGACAAGATTTTATTATTATTTTTTTTCTACGGGAGATGAAAAATGAATGAATCTACTTCTCTTATATAGTTATGTGGAGTAATATTCATTTATTTTTCAATTAATAAAATGAAATTATAAAAAATAGTACTCCCTCCGTTTCATTTTGTTAGTACCATATAGAATCAATCACAAAAAAAAAATAAGAGAATGAATAATACTCCCTCCGTTTCATAATGTTAGTCTCATATACTATTTTGGGCGTTTCAAAAAGATCTACCCATATTGAATATATTTCATTTATAACTTGTTTTTTTTTAATTAATTGATTGTGGATTGATGACATGACTCTAAGTAAGGAAATTTTTACCTTAAATTATGCAATCATGGCTTGTGCTTTCCTAATGAAAAATAAAAAAAGTTAAATATGGTAAACTAATTATGAAATATGTTGTACTTTAATGTTAGATTTCAAATATATTTGTTTTCTTATTTTATGTGATTGATTCTATATGGAACTAACATTATGAAACGGAGGGAGTATTTGGAATCTTACATTTTAGTACAAAAATTGCTTAATTAGTTCTATCTTATTAAAAGTTCTGTTTTTTTTCTTTGGAAAGTATCAATTACAATGCTTATTTAACGTGAGTAATATCAATCAAATGTCATGTCATCAATCCACTAATGGGATTGATGACCAATCAAAATATTTAATTATTGCCATGTCATCAATCCACTAATGGGATTAGAAATTATAAGACCAAATTAGGAAAATAAAATAAAATAAAAAAGGAATAAATTCAATATGGGTAGATCATTTTAAAACGCCTAAAATAATATATGGGATTAACATTATGAAACGGAGGGAGTAATAACTTAAAATACTATTCAAATTACATTCCTTTATTTTTGTATCGACCATTAGTAAATGAATCCTTTATTACTAATTGCATTGTCTTTGTTTTTTTCTCTACGGGATTGATAATAAATGATTTGATTTATAAACAGTGCATCGCATGGGTACTATGCTACTTATTATACTAAAACGATACTTTTTTTTTCCTTAAATTAACAGTTTTTGGTTAAAAATGGACCCCGCAAGAATTATAATCCCATCTATTTCGGTTTTTTTTCTTTTCTTTTTTTGTTGCCATTTAGTTGGTTAGTTTGATATCCAAGTTTATCCAATCAAAGTTGTTACACTAATGGTTTTGATTATACATAGTATTTTGCTTCTTGTGGCTTTTTAATATTATTTTTTATCACCTCCCTATTTTTTATAATATCGATCATTTTTAACATAGATGTATTGAGTTAACTTTCCTTTCCGGACATCGCTATGTACTACCTTTTTTTTTTTTGAATAGCAAAAATATTTCATTAATTAAAAGTCATACGACATTTACAATAGAGATTCGACGTTAACAAATACATAAGATATTGAATCAAATAGAATTTTCCTTCATAAAAACTACGATCGTCGAGTAGATCTTGCACTGCGGAGCATCACCCGCTTATATCGCTGAAAATTACAGCCTTGTTGGAGAGACAATCTAACGATCCGTTGTAGCCGTGAGGATATTTTCCTTTTGATTCATCTGTTTGTATTCGAAAACTTGATAACTTTTTCACCAACGAAATAATTTCACGACAATCCATTAGATCTGCTACCATAGATTCAAAACTAAGAAATTTCTCCCTCAAAAAGAGGAGATAAACCTTGTCTTTCGAAGGAGGTCGAAAAACCCTTGTTTTTCGAAGGAGATCGGAAACCCTTTGTTTCGAGGGGGAAAAGTTCCTCCCAAAAGAAGGAAACATTATTATAAACCTAAAAAAACAATAAAGAAACAAGGATTGGGGCTTTCCACCGATTAAAATCGATGAAAGCCCCCTTCAAAATTCAACAATGGAGGCTAAGATTTTGGAGAGAGAAAGGAGGAGAGAGAAAGGAGTTATAATAATAATTACTTTTCGCTATGTACTACCTAGTTTAGTAATAAAATATGAAAACATTATTTAGGAGAAAATACGTGTTCATGGATCATTTTACATTTTTTTCCTATCACTACGGAGTAGTAATTTAGGAGAAAAAAGCTCTTAAAAATAACAACACAAACTAATAATACTATTAATAATCATTTTGGTGGATGACCCTTTGCAAAATTCTTGTCATGCCAATGATGCCATGATTTTTTTTTTTTCTTCTTTTCTAATGGAGGATTTATCAACTTTATTTTTGTGCACCATTTTCACTTGGAGTAACTTTTCCTAATGACCAAGGAGAATAAAATCAAGAGCCAATTACATTGCAAAAAAGGAGAGAAAAAACTAATTATGGATACATGTTATAGCATTAGAAATGGGTTTGTTAATTTGTTTAATAAATAATCAATTTGGTTTTTATGATTTAAGCTATTAGTGCTGTATATGAGTCAATTGTTAATTAACTCATTTTATAATAATGCTATTTTTTTTTTTTTGACAAGAGATTTATAATGTCTATCAATATTGGTCAAATTAGTTTTAAAGTTGAATTAGTATGGGTCAGGTGCAAGCGGATTTAGACCAAGATAGAGTTACTTCTTTTTAGTATAGTTTTGTTTAGTTCCGGTCGATCTTGAACATATTGAAATTTTGTAATGTACATCAGTTTTTTATGCAACAATTTTGTATATATATTTTTTTTAAAAGAAATTTTGTATAATGAAATAGATAAATAGTACTATAATTAATTTTTTTTACCATACATTAATTACAAAATCATTTCAATTTTTTTTCACCAAAAGTTCACTTTCTCTCTCCAAACAAAATTTCAAACCCATTTTAATTCCTCAAACCTCAAACAAAATTTCAAGAAATTCGAAATTTTGAGCCCAAAATTGTTCAAGATGACAAATAAAAACGAAAGGTAAGACCAAATTTGACATTTATACTTGTTTATTTGACATTCATAATTGTTTATTTTGAGTTTGAGTGTTTGTTTTTTATAAATTTGATTGAAAATTGTAATATTTGATTTTATTGAAAATTAATTGCGATTTTGATATAATTTTGTTGTTGCAATGAGAAATAAAATTAAATTCTTGAAGAAGATCAACCGATTAATATATTTTGGAAGAAGAAAGCAACCAAATAGACAAATTTAGAAAAAGTTGTAGATCCAAATAATACAATGTACATTAAAATACAGTAAAATGTTCTTTTTTCATATACTTATATGATGCAAATAATACAATGTACATAAAATATGTAACCAACATTATAACATATATGTTCATTAGAATATAATACAATGTACATTATAATACAGTAAAATGTACATTTTCATATACATACATGATTATTTATACCAAATGTATATTTACTATATGAATAATGTTCTTTAATATTATCATGTTCTTTACTAATATTACAAATGTTCTTTAGATTTACAAAAAAAACATATAAAACTAGATGTTCTTTATAAAATAGCTATATGTTCTTTACAAAACAACTATATGTTCTTTACTGAATAGCTAAATGTTCATTCCACCTTTTTTTAAAGAACACTGAATGCACCAAGCATGGTGCATCCGCCTCCACAGAAAAAATTTCACATTCTTTCAAGTCTTGCCTTGGTTGCCAATTTGCCATGAGAGTGATGAGACAGGAAGGCATGAAAGTACAAATAACAGACTATTCAATTCCAACCAAAAGCTACTAACACGGTCAATTTCATAATGCACACAAATTTCAAGATTTAAAGGAATGCAGATGAAAGTCTTATTTTTGATCCAATTTTAGCAATTTGTTTAAGTAGCGTAAATCTTGGTAATATACTTCGTAATTCACTAAGCTATCATATGCACAGATACGTTTCAACACTCGACACACAAATTGCAATCAGTCGCAGCCCAACAGATTCGATTCTGTTTCCACTTTCCAGCATTTGCAAAATGCTGCCAGCAGCGCAACAGATTGATTCTGTTTCCAATGCAAACGAAAGATTGGTTGCTGCATCCTTGGATTAAGTGATTAACATTTATCTGTGTAAGTTCTACTAGTGCTGTGCATAGATACAAACACTGCTAAAGGTAAAATCAGCTGGTTATTCTGTAGCTAAGTGCAAAAGGTTTCAGAAGCATATCGAAATAATTTTCCACCGAAAAAAATGAAGGCAAAAAAGACTAAACACTTCTTTGAAGGCTTAATTTTTCTATAATTGGTTACCAGCCACTAGTTAATTAGTACTTTGAAGGTAGCCATAGTTCACAACTTAATACACACGGACAATAAACTTCTACCACCTCAAAAGTTCCAATTTCTGCCACAGAAAAAAAAAAAAAAAGTATTGTTCTGAGAAACATGGATTAATTATTCATTGTGCTGATAGCTATTTTGCAACAATCATCCCCTCACTCGCCACCGGAACAGTCTAATCACCTGCAAGTACATAGGTCAGGGTGGCAAGTTGGCAACTAGCGAGTGACGAATAAAAGATGTTCATGTTTTAGTCAAGGAAATAAAACACCATTGACATTTTATTCTACTAATTCAGAATGTTTTCAAATGAAAGAGAAATCAGGAACTGTACTTCTTAATATTGGAAAGAGAGCAAACTCAGAAAACAGACAAATCTGATGTACATAAACAAACATTAATCCCTTCCCAACAGATTTATAAGATAGTCAAAAGTCAGAAAAGTTGATTAATAACTAAAAGCTTTTAAGTGTTATAACTTTTAAAAGAACACTTGGTCAATGGGGAACAAATAAAATTCAAACATACTGAAAACAGAAAATCTTAGTTGGCTATCATGTTTTCCACAAAAAAAATCCTAGGTTGTCAACAAGACGAAAGAACTCTGGTGTACAATATAATTTGATTAATTTCAGTCAAGTTTATTTTCACATCTCTAATAGAAAAAGACTTTTCCATTTCACCACTCCACCACTTTTCTCTGGCACTCAGAATAATTTAGCAATGGTTACAAACTTACAATCATTTGTTTTCATCAGAACATGGTCACTTTCTAATAAGAACATCTATACAGGATAATATGGGAAGGTGAACAATATAATGGGCAAAACTCTGAACTAAAGGAACATCATTGCATAATTGTTGCATATTTTGAGCATTCTAGGTGAACAATATAATGGGCAAAAACTCTGAACTAAAGGAACATCATTGCATAATTGTTGCATATTTTGAGCATTCTCTAAAAAAAAAAAAAACTAGATTCAACTAAGAAAATCTTGGAACCAAAATACAACAATGATTAACAATGATGAGAGTTCATCATGCTTCAAAATGTTAATCAAACAAGATTAATTCCTAAAACCTAAAACCCCTACTTTCAAGTAAATAATAGTATCAACTGAAATCACCACTATATACTTGACAGAAGAACAACTTACAATTTATTGTCATAATCAATCTTCTTCAACTTCTTACAGCCCGGATTGAGCCCCCCCTTGGACTGCATATAGATTTGCTGTAGATAAGGTATCTCAGTAGAGTACTTGGTAACATACAGATCAATAAACTCCTTTTCTGATTTATTCAGCATCCAAATGAACCGTGTACGCCTAATCAATTTCCTCTCTTTCAAAATCTTCCAAATAGTGAACCTTGGAACAACCCTTTTCTCAATTGAATACATCAAAACTTTGGGATAACCAATAATAGTCTCCCTATCAACCTTTACAGTATTAACAAAATAATCCATAGCATTCCTAAGTTTCTTCTCAGAGCAAGACAAACAATGTGGACTCTTAGTAAAAGTCAATATAACCTCCTTAGTAGACCAACCTAAACTCTCAAAGATGGAAACCTTCCTCTTCCAGCTCAACTTACTAAGCGACATTATGACACGAAAGTTTTGTATATACTTAACATCAGTAGGCTTTACCCCCATACATCTTATCATTTTCACTGCATAATTGATCTTTGAAATATCTTGGTACAAACACCTAGGCTGCAAAACAAGCAACTCCTCGATTCGTTTCTCGGGCACCCCTTCTTCAATCAAACAATCCAGATTCTCTTGCAGTCCTTTCCAATCAGAAGTAAGTAACCAAGACCCACGATGAACTGTAACCAAAAGCCTATCAAGGCAACTCACATATCTATTAATTATACCCATTGCAGGCTTCAATTGCGCCTCTAAACTCCGAAACAAAATCGCCGGAGAACTAACCACAAGCTTAGGAAGATACAAACCCTTAATCCCATTTTCTACTAGAAATCTAAGCTTAGGTTCAAGATTACTTGTAATCCTACAATTAAGAACAGCTGGGTATTTCTCAATAAGTCTAATAATATGAGCATTAGTAAAATTATGGGATTTCAAAAACAAAACAACAGAATCAAATTGTTTCTTGTTCTTCTCTTCTAATACAACTCTTTTCGAGGCTTTAATTGCAGATTCTAACGAAAGCCCACATGAATTAGTTAAGTATTGAATTGGGAAAGATGATAAATTAGGTAGGATTGACTCAGATTTAATCTTTCTTTTACGGGTTTTTGATGATAATTTAGGGTTTGGGGGAAGTGGGTGTGCATTAAAGAACCGTTTTTGGAGAAAGGAAACTACCCTTTTGAAAGGAAGATTTGCTGCCATTGTTGAGTTAGAATATGCTATTAAGAGATGAAATTGAAATGAAAGAGAATGGTGTAGACCTGAGAGAGTGTGATGTTAGTGGCAGCTGCGGCGTTGAGGAAGACGACGGCAACGCGAGCGAGCGAGCGAGAGTGTTGGGTTTGTGTGGATTTTGAGCGGGGAAAAACAAAATGAGTACGGTGGCTCTCGAAGGGTGTCTCAGGGGTTTATCTTTTGTTCACCAGAGTGGCGGACTCCGTCTACTAGTTAATACTTGTAATCGTGTTACTGCACAGGAGATTTTTTTTTTTTTTTTTTTTTTTTTTATAAGAAAAATACAAAAGTTAGGTAAGTCTTCTCTCAACACTGTACTACTGCACAGGAGATTATTGATTTTACAATGGCTGTGTTTGGACGTTTGGTATTAGCTTATTTGAGCAAAAATTAACTTAAATGACCAACAGTACCTTATTGACTACATAGTACGACCGTATTAAATAAGCTAATTCCTGGTGTTTGGTGGAAGCTTATTTAAATATCTTATTCCACCAAAGAGCTAATTTAATTAGCTTTTTCATTAATATATGGTGAAATGACACTTAGAATCCCATTTAATTTAAAATCTTACAATCAGCTAATAAAATAAGTTAGTCAAATCAGTTATACAATTAGTTAGTCAAAATCAGTAATCAGATTCAGTTTTAAGCTATTCACTAAACATGACCAATGTAATTTTTTTTTATTTATTTATTGGAGAGTTATTATTGTTTATAATTATACGTTAAATTTGTTCTTGGAAAAAAAAAATTAAACTATTCTTAAAAAGATTTAAGAAGCCAAATTGGTTCAGTGCAAAATCGATTGTTTCAAACTTTGAATAGAATACTTGGAATAATTTGTGATAAACTTTTTCTGTTTTTAAATTTGTTATTATAAAATATGAAATTCTTTTTGATAAATTTTTGTATATATACGCAACACACAGAATTTTAAGTTTAGACATTAAATAAAATCATTTTATTTTATTTTTTTTTTTAAAAAAAAAATTCACATGATTTGAACTTATATATGATCTTATAATAACTTATCTGAACTTAGTAACCCTTATTAGAACTTATTTTAATTATCAATTAAACTTGGCAGCCATGATTAACCCTTGTCACAACTTATTTGATTTTTTTTTTCAGAACTTATTAACTCTTATCTAAACTTATTAACCCTGAAATAAGTGGAAATAAGGTGAACATAACAGGGCCTAAATTTCAATCAACTCCACTTCAATTGACTATCATCTATATCTATCTATATCTATACTTAGTATTTAAAAACTATAACCAAGAAAAACACATGTCTCTATCCTATTACACTTCAATATCTTTTTCTCTAACCCAAATGCCACATGTCTTCCTACACTATTAATTAATTTTTATATATTTATATATACATCGGATCTAAATTAAAAACTCTACAATGTCATTCTTTAAAAATGACACCACAATAATGATGTGGCAAAATATAATTGGCCTATATCTTGTATTTTTATCTTCATTTTAAATTATTTTTAATGTCCACATTGTATTAAAATTGTATTATTTTTAATACATGCATTTTAAAAAAAAATACATAATTATAAATTATGAAAATGTATTTTTATAATATAAATTAATTTTCAAATTTATAATTATAATTAGAAATCATCGTGATAAGAATTGTTCATAATCGTTCATCGTTCATCATGTTCAATCATCATCATTAATCGTTCATCATCCTTGTTCAATCATCATCGTTCATCGTTCATTATTGTTCTATCATTATCGTTCATCATTGTTCGATCTTTGTTGGTATGCGTACTTCATCATTATGGTTCATCATTGTTCGATCGTCATCGTTCATCATTGTTCATGAATCATGTCATAGATTATCCCCCTATTCCCAAATTCAATGTTAGTTGTTGATAAATTCGCAAAATCCCAACTAAAATCGTGATAAAAATTCGAAAACAAATTGTGTGTTTGTATTTTGTTTTTTGCAGTTTTTTTATTTTAGTGTTTCGTTCGTAAATAAATCTCAATAACAAATTCATTCATAAGTATTTGCAAAGGACAAATTCCTCTTTAAATGGTTCAAAAATATGATTTATGTGGACTCAAATTGTGCAATTTTGTCAAAGATCAAGGAGTGTCAAGTTTGTAGAAGATGGAGTGAGTCGAATTTTTTTTACCTACTGCAACCCCTGTTTGATCTTATAAATGTAATTAAGTTTTTTCGAAGTTGTTTGTGGGTTAGGTAATGACTTAAACTATCTTTGGTCATTACATAAGATTCGATAAAGAACAATATATAGCTAATAACAAAAAAAACAACGTGAATAAAAGCTAATAACAAAAAAAAAAGAAAAAAAAAGGTGAACAATAAAAGCTAATTTTTAATTATTTTTTTTGGTAAACTCTAATATGTGAAGGTTTTTTGATATATTTTTTAAAAAAATATTATCTTAAACGTCATTAACGATTTGAGAGAGAATATATTCTCTATAAAATTGCTAAATAAATGGGAAAATCATATAACAAAGCTATATTTGTATAACTTTGTAAACAAAATATAAATATATATTATATAAATATATATATATATATATATATATATATATATATATATATATATATATATATATATATATATATGAAAAAATGTGTTTCTTAACAATGATAAAAAGGATGGGTCCTAAAATAATGGATGTAGATGTACACGATCATACAACACGTAATTTAAGAAAGTTATCATTATCTAATATATAGCTAATAACAAAAAAAACAAGGTGAATAAAAGCTAATTAGGAATATCCCAATATTATAGCCACTAATTTATATGCCAAGATTTCAAAAATATTTTTTCCAAAATATAATAAGATAATTATCCCATAAATATTTTTTGCTAAAATGATATGATAAAAATTCCAAATATATTTTTTTCAAAATATAATCTATCTATCTATTACATATTACTAAAGACGAAACCAATAATAACACTTGGCAGCATTGTGTTAAAATTTTTCCCTCCAATAACACTTGCTAAAAAAAATATCCTCCAATAATCGTTGTTTTAAGAAAATTATTACTTTTAAGAAAAGATTTTATCTCAATTATTACATTTTCTTTATATAAAATATAAACCAAACTTTCTAAAATTCATTTTATATGTGGCTTTTAAAAAATAAAATTGTTGAATACTTCAATTCATATAATTTTACATGTGACCTTAGAAAAAAAATTCGTTTTAAATAATAATTGAACAACCGTGCATCTATTGCACGGGATTTTATCCTAGTAAGATAATAATCTCAAAAACATTTTTTTGCTAAAATTATATGATAAAAATTCCATAAATTATTTTTTTGTTATACGATTAGCATACAAGTAGATTCCAACTACAAAAGTAAAACTAAATTTGTAAGGTAATGACCTAACTAAATATAGGTGATTACCTAACCACAAACAAATTACAAAAATCGAAAAACAAGATTCTAGATCAAACAGTGCGGAAAAAAAAAACTCGAACTCTAAATCGAAGAGCAAACCCTCGTTATCCATTCATCGTTTAAAAAAAATGAAATATAGGCATTTTAATCATCATAATAAACGTTCCTAATGCTTTTTTCATTCTCAAAACTATCAAATAATATGATTTTTACATTAATCAAATTAATCAATCGAACCCTAAAACAAAATTTGTAAACGAATTTGGACGGGATTTTGGATGGAATTTTGGTCAGAATTTTTTATCTTCGTTGCGAATAGATAATACAAGATTATGGTAGTGGGTTAATTACTATCATGAATGAAGATTGATGATGAACAATGATGATTTTTTTTTTTAATTTCTAGAATTTAATTATAATTTAATTTTGGAAAATGATTTTAATAATTTTTTTTTTTAAAAAAGCTATAATTACATATTATTTAAAAAAAATACATGTATTTACCATAATACATACATGTATAATATATTTATGCTTTTAAAAATAAATAAAAAATGGACCAATCATAACATTACACATCATCATGTTATGGTGTCATTTTTTGAAAAATGACATAATAGAAACATCCAATTTAAATACGTAGTAAATAACCAACAAGCACACAAATGAGAAACATTAACATGACCTTGCATGCCAGCAAATCATTCTTCACATCAAGGTGATCATCATATACGCCTTCCATTGCTGAAGATGAAAGGTTTGCCACTTGTTGCTGCAAACATAATCGAGAAAAATATAACTATTATGTCAATGTCATGTAGTGATAGATTCGAGATTTTGGAAAGTCATACCAGTTACATACTTAAACTAATTATTTAAGCAAATACATTAAATAAAGAGTAAAGCTCACAACGGTAATCGAACCTTGAACCACTTGTAAATATTCTTCAGACCATTGAGCTACCTACAAGAGATTCTCAATAATAATGCTAGCTTATTTTTTATATTCTTAAATTGATATGAGGCCCTATTAACTTTTGGGCCCTGTGCAGTTGCTCACCCTGCACATCCTAAGGGCTGGGCCTGGGTGTATGTTTGACTTAATAAGTGATGAGTCATAACCAATCAAGTAAATAGTACTTCCCCAATCTTTTGTACTTGATCCATTTTGACTTTTACACTGTTCACCACCTTTTTTTATTGTCTTTTTGTGAATAATGTGTAAGGATTTTTTTTTTCAATTCGTCTTAATAAGTACTATCATAATATATACCTTTTATAATTTTTATTTATCAAAAATTAAAGTTTTTTATCGTTTAAGTTTTGAATTGATATGTTGATAAAAGAAACAGATCTTTTTTTTGACGGAGATAAAAGAAACAGATCAAGTGAAAAAGAACGAAGAAAGTATAATAATTAGATCGACATACTATTTACTTTGTTCTTGAATAATACTCGTAATAATTTGATTTTGAACTTAAACAAATATAGTCACAAAGTATATGAATAGACAATGAATCGATTCATCACATATTAGCTATAAAAATGCATGAAATATATTAAAATAATTAAATTATGAGAAAGAAAATATATAAATATGTAATAGTTATAATGTGCATGTAAGTTGATATTTTAGTAAGTTTACTTTAAATTTTATATCAAGTAAAAATCATAAGTTAGATACAAACCTCACTGATTGTAGAACTAAGCAATTGAATGGAAGTGGTCATGTCCTCCAATTTATTCTCTAAATAAGCATTCTTCTCTTGAAGCTTTTGAATGTCTTTTTTATTCGAATTAAGCAACTCAATGGAAGTGGTCATATTCTCCGATTTCTTCTCTAAAGTAGCATTCTTCTCTTGAAGCTTTAGAATGACCTTTTTATTCGCGACAAACAAAATAAATAAATAAATAATAAAAACAAATCATATATATATATATATATATAATATCTATAGTACTATATAAAGAGAAAGGAATTCTTCGTCGATAAATTTTGTTTTTCCAAAAATACCCCTCTACTTTTTACAAATTACATTATTTACACACAATTAATTTTTTTTTTAAAAAAAAAAAAACTATCCTATCATAACTACCCATAAACATAAACCATTATTTAAATAAATAAAAACTATTTATC